GTGCACCCCAATACGGGCGAATCAAAACAGTGCGCCACCAAGAGTTTGCAACACGTTGGCCAATCATAACGCGCACAATTTGTCGACACTTTCCAAACGCGCATTGGGTGCTAGAAACAGAAAAAAAAATCAGACGACATGTGACAGAACAGGATAAGTGGAACAAAGACAAGGGATCAACAGAAAATCGAACTGGGCAGACAAGAATAGCAATGGCTATGAGAATGGGCTTGGTTGTCAGGTCTACAGCCAAACTTGTCACGTGAAATCAGCGGCCGATCAGTGAGGTCTCTACAAAATGTGTAAGATGAGAACTTTAATACAATAACAAATTAAGCTTGTTTTAACACACTAATACACATGAAATCTTAACGGCACATAAAAAATAACAAACACAAAACCAAAAACATAAACTTTTGAATACTGAAATCAAGGTAAGCACGGAAGTTGATTTTTGGCGCCAAGCAAATATCAGTATCACATTCCTTCATCTCTTGGCAACCCCCCCCCCCGCCCAAATCCCCCAATAAAACAAACAGTCTAACAGTTTCCATATTATAATCTAAGCAATTTGTTACTTCGGCCGTGTCCAGGTCGCATGCGCTAGGAAAGGGGCGAAGAGTAACACACGACTCTAGCGAGGGTGGCCGGCTTCGGTGGGTGGTTATCTGGTTCGTAAGTGATCTCATCATTACACGCGCACGTGACACTGGTTACAAGCGTCCATTGGATGAACGCTCAGGTTGCGCGTTCACCTCCGTCTATGGGCAGAGGGCGTGGTTTCAGCTGAAGTGGCGCCAAACTTTTGAAACGGATAACCAGTGGGTTACATAGGCTCAGGTGTTACTTCAAACAGCATCAGCCAGAAATGAGCTGCCAGAGCTGCGGCTCAGTCTACATTCAACGTGCTACGGGCATTTCCAACAGGAGAAGACCTGGGTCCGGCTCCGGACCCAAGAGTCGGATGCAGTCACAGTTCGAGAGGCTCAAGATTGAAGACGTGCAGAGCGCATCGCGGAAAGTTCAAGCCCCACGTACGCCAAAGAATATTTCTCTGTTCACGGAGTAGCTATACAGAGTCGGTTCAAAGCGTTTCCTGGCGATTCTCCCCTCGTCTCGTTTAATTGGAGGCCAGGTCTGTCAGTATGGCGGCACTGTCTTTGTTCACATTGGTCTCGTAGAGGTCAATGGCCGACTGGTCATCGGCTCCCCTGCGCAGACATCGGCATCTGGTAAAACAAGAAAGAAAAACAAAACCAGGATCTTCCATAAGCAATCAAATCGTTACAATCTGCACCATCTTTGTGCCTAAAGTAAAACACTGACACGGCAGGAATCAAGACTACGCATCACAAGCTGTGGACGGCAATCTAGACACAGGTATACTTTACAAATTGCAAACTGTTCCAAAAAGAGCTCTAATTGCGACTGAGAACGCTATTACCCATAGATGGAAACGTTTTCCAGAATACCGATGGAGAAACGGTTGTACGATCATTCGAAACTTACTTCTAACAAACGCTCTCTCATTCTTCAGACGTAATTATACCACTCTACCGATCAAGAGAGGGCGCAATTTTCTTAGCAACAGAGGCTTTTCTGGTTGGAACTGAACTCTGCTAGTTCACGAACGACTAGAAAATACACGCGTTACGGTCGCGTCGCTACCCACAAAATGAACACTTCCGACCAGCATGGGTCTTTTCAACCGATGGCGGGGTGCTCCTGCTCGCGGCAGATGCTCCGTTAGACTCGGAGATGGAATCAGCCATAGCCGTGCTGTAAGTCCACGTCGGTGATATTATGGTCACTTACTTGCCGATTTCCTCTCCCTCCTTCAGCGTCTGTGGCAGTTTACGGCCTTTCGTCTCCGGCAGGAAGAATACCAGAAGTCCCGCAATAACGGCGCTGGAGCCGAACAGGATCAAAGGAAGGTCGGCGGCGGCGTGTTTCGACAGCAGGATGACTGGGGAGAGAATGGCTCCGATGCGGGAAGCAATGGAACAGACACCCACGCCGACGGCCCTGTGCAAAAGAGTCCACCTACATAGTGTTACAGTCTGCCAACAAACCTTGTTTTGCGAAACGGTGTGAATTCTTGAGATAAAACTCCACATTTTGAACGTCTAGGCGCCGTTAGCAACTCATTTTGGCGAACTCTGGTCACTTTAGAGATCAACAAAACACGCTTATATTGATACACTTTATTGACAAAATTATTAAGGCGGAAGAAGAATCTTCACGTCCAAAATAAAAGACTTTCACCCTGAGAATACAACTTATCCTACTCAAGATTTCTTTGGTATTTTTTGAGAATTCTGTGAATCTCACGGGAACAGGGATTAGGGATAACACTGCTTGAGTGTCAACTTGTTAAAGAACATATGCGAGCGTATATGTCCTCGGTCCGAGAAAGTGTTGCTAAAATGGCTTTGTAGAGGGAATCTGCACACAGTATCAACCTTATGGGTCTTCTTCAATTCCACCAATGCACAGAACCACACAAAGCTGCCACCAAACGGCCCTATCCCTTCCAGGATGTCACATAAACCACACCCTGTCGTGTCCTGATATTCTTTACCTGACTGGTGTTGGAAAGACCTCGATGGAGTACAGGTAGATGAGACTGAAAGTGACAGAGATACAGAACTTGCCGACCATTGATACGACAGTCCTCCAGATCCCAGTGGCTGTGACGGGAATAGAAACGGCACAAAAGGAGTCAGCGTGCGCTAAAGGAGTAATTACGTGTGGTTTCCTCGTACCTTTTCTGCAAGAACTTTGCTTGTACCAAGAGCGGTGTATCAAAGGGCGCAGAAGTATCGAGTAATTTTGTCGAGGCCTCATTGGATAATATTTGTGGACCCACTGACCCAGGTCAGTACTTCCGCATGCGAACGCAGATTGTACATGTACATGCACTGATTAAGGCCAGGGGCTACCCATCATGCTTTGGGACATTTGTGTTCCCCTTGTAAAATATCGTGGAAAATGGACTTTTTCTGTTAGCAGAAATCTCAGAAATAATGTTTAACCAACTCCAAAAACCGAGGCTTGTTACCTTAACTACTAGCTCGCTGTAAAACCTTAGCGATAAAACTAGTTATTGACTTTGTTTTATTCCGTTTAACATAGGAATTTAAAAAAAATCATCGTTGGACTCGATTTACAGTGGATATTTGCAAATAGTTTTTCACAGGAATGGCGCCACAATTCAAACCCGTCATTACACTTCATCCAATGCGATGAGCGCTTACGTATGAAGATGGTTGCCAAGCAAGCGATTCCACCGATCAACTCCAGCACCGCGGTGTTCCATTTCCGACCGAACCACTCCACGCCGAAGACTGCATAGAACAGGGCCGGGATCTCGACGGCGCCAGACACGAAGAAAGCCCAGTAGATGTTCACTCCAAGCTCACCAGTGCTCTGCGACAGGCCGTAGTACACCAGGTTGTTGACCATCCTATACGGAAAAACAAACCTTGAATTTATTCTGGAAAATCATAACAGTTTGCACAAGACAGTATTTGGTTTCTGGGCTAATTTCTCGGGGAGATGGTCGTTGAACTACTAACTGCCAAACAATGGAAATGGACTCCCCGTCCTGAATTTAATCAAAGTCCAATGGTATCCGCCTCGAGCAGAAGCACCCCCTCATCGATTGAAAAGAGCTACCGCTGGTCAGTCGGGAGTGTCCAATTTGTTAGTAGCGATGCGACCATGATGGGTGCATTTCTTAGTCGTTCGTGAACCATCAAAGACCAAACTAGGAGCCTCCGTTGCTAAGAAAACAGCGCCCTCACTTGGTCCAGCTCGAAGGCCCATAGTAAACATAACCGGTGAGGACAACGGAAAATCCTTACCAGTTGAACTGCAAGTTGAGTGTCTTGAGTAACATGTTAGGTGATCTGTATAGGTCAATGGCTGATGGAGGTATTTTCGACTTTTGCGATTCCTGTAAAAATGTGAAGTTAATTCATAAGTTAGAGAATACGTAACGGCGGTAATGAAATTGTGGAGTCCTACTCTATTTCTAAAAAAAAAAAAAGGCCATTGTTTTGGGTTCCTACTTCTTTAAGTTCTCTATCGTAGAAGATTTGGACCAAATTACTGAGAAATAATTCATAAGTCAGGCAAAACATATCAGTCCATGAAACTGGGCTCACCATCTGCTCCTGTGCGTCCGCTTGATCAAACAGGACGTCAGGCAACGTCTTCATGTTGAACTTGGCCACTCTCCTCAGAACAGTTTCGGCCTCATCGATCCGGCCCTTAGAAACCAGCCATCTGATTGACTCCTGAACAAATCTGCCAGAGATGCCAACCAATAAAAGTCCTCAATAGGGAGAGTCATTCACAAACAGCAGCACGAGAATGCACGGCAAACTGGAGAACTACCTTACATAATCCGATCTGGCAATTCCTTAAATTATGCAAATTTGTTGTTAATTGTTGAATTTAAGCAGACCCACGGTACTCACATTACAGGAAAGAGCAAAACAACCGACGGCACTGAAAGAACCAGGGACAGAGTCCGCCAGTCCCTCACGAACATGGCTGCGGTCGCGAGAATGAAGTAGCCCACTGCAAAGAAAATCCCGGCTATCATGGTGACGGCGTTACGCCAGGCCTGCCCAACGACTTCAAGAACTGTGATGGAGAGATCAGCACAACATGAATTCCGGCATGGCTTACGGACAGCAAAGATAGCATCCAAAGTGGAAATGACAGCCATTGTATAAGTTAGATGCGATGGAATATTAACCTATCAAGCCCCCTCCCACGCGCACGTGTCCAACAATACACGTGCTTGCCCCTGCACGCTGCATGTTCCAGGGGCTCACGTACAAAGTCGGTTCATACTCCAGGAGAACACAGAAGCGAATTTGATGTCACAGTGCAACGCAGTTCGCTAGAGGTGAAATGCATTCAACTTTTTTCGCGAATTCGAAGCACGAATGTGTGATTCAACGTCACCATTTCGCGTTCCTGTTTGCTTGAGCGCCAGGTATGAACCGCCCTTAAAGTCGGACTCATAATCATGGAGAGTGTTGTCCGACCATTTCGTCGGGCATCTTTGTTGCGCATTCTTGGCCCAGACTGGTCAAAATCTACGGTGGGGCTTTATAAACCGTCTGATAGCACGTTCAGTGTCGGTATAGTATTCTGGAAGTCACACATTCAAAGTCACAATCAAATTCGTTTGGCTTAAATCGTAGATGCAAAGCGTTGGTGCGAGCGGATTATCGGTCGGGATTAGTAGGCCTACGTTTAGCGGACGTCTTACGCAATACATAAGTGGAGATGTATGCTCCTATACCCCCGAAGCCTGCCAGGAACCGAAATGCTGTGTACATGTAGATGTTGACTGAAAACGACGTGACGATGAAACCAACGAACCAGAACAGGAGCCCAAGAAGTAGAGATCTCTTTCGACCACACCTGAAATTGATCAGTACCAAACAGAAAAAAATGGTAAAATAGGAACAACTTAATACGGAAGAGCCCACTCAGCTTTTTTTTGGGGGGGGGTATCACTATAGTGCCTTTTGCAGGAGCTTAGCTTTCAAGAGTTTAGAGTAACTCTTTAAGACTATTTTACACCATTTTTTTGAAAATCGAACATACCGTTCTGGCGCCAATTTTCCAAGACAGGTCAGCTAAAGACGTACACCCTTTCCACTGCGGCGTTCAATGCGCGCGGGCCGGCACGCGCGTGGCCTCGAACTTCGAATGACCGTAGCAACAAAACAGTATATCTGATTGCATTCTAACTTCAAATTTGTAATTATAAGGATTATCTTTACATGCATGCCAAGTTTAAAAACAATCGAGACCGGCATAGCCGAGTTCTGAGGAAGGGGTGGACCCCCCAGCTGTGAAATGGGCCAAAATAACCAGAATAAGGAAATATGGAAAGGTGTCTGATGAAATCAGAGTAGCTGTTGTAGGAGAAAAAAAAGTAAACAGGAAAATTCCGATTTCTATTCTAAAAAAGTGTGTTTGGTCTGGGAAATCGCAGCGCGTATCCTTTCACATTTCTGATCTTTGTTCGGCCTCTTTAAGAGTTTTCAGAAATAAGGAACAAATTAGTCGACTTACCAGTCCGACACTGTGCCCATCACGAGGGATCCTACCAGAAATCCCGCAAAATAGATGGACTGCGCCAGGCCGGGCAAATTTATATCATCACACACCAAGTTGAACTACGATGGAAAAAAAATTGTGGGAAAACACAAACTCAATATATTTGAGCCCGTAGTGCAGAGTGGGGCCATTTGGGGCGAGCTTAATTCATCGTGCTGGTTCTTGACAATTACATCAATTTGTTTTGTTTTATCGTGGTTTTTTAATCAACCACTGTCTTATTTCACAAATCCAGCACGCAGATTATGACAAGAACGTGTCATGTTGACAACATTTACTTGATACCTGAACTGGAAACAAATTAAACTTGTCATTCTAACTAGATTGTTTCATATTTCCCAACGAGACAGGGTTTTTTCTGTTCAGTATGACGGCGTACCTTTCCATTCTGTCAGCCTTTTTTTAATGTAAGACAGGCAGAACAACAAACCCTATGGTTTTAAGATTTGGAGGTAGGAAAAGATGAGTGACGGATGGATACTCTGTCGGAATGAGTCACTTTTCTGAGGAAAACCTACTGGCATCTGAAACCATTTTTCGGTTAAAAAAATCTACACATTGTGACCAGGAATATCTGCACAATCATCTTAAAGAAAGGTGTAGTTTCTTCTTCGAAGGACATTTCGAAAGCAATTCAACAAACATCAGACGAGATTCAGCATGGGAAAAGGCACTTCCTGCGAAGACATGACTTACGTCCGTAACGGTCGTTGACCTGTACTGTGATCTATCGTACTCCCATCCATCTTCGCAGGGCACTTCCTCGAGAGTTTCATTGTCGGCGTCATCGAGCGGCACGTCCGGGTCAAACACGTACCCATCCGGCAACTCCCACTGCTTGCAGCTGGAGTAGGGACGAGTGCTGTCGTTACCCTCCAGAGGCGAGAAAAGGGACCTCTTCACCTCGGTGCAGTTGTCCCGGAACTCCGTCCAGCCGGAGCAGTTCTCCTCGGGCAGGACCGAGCACCAGTGGCCGGTGCCGGCGGCGTAGAAGACGTTGCCGAGGATGGTCAGGCAGAGGACGATGCTGACCGAGCCCATGTAGCAGACCATGAAGAACTGGTAGCGACCGAAGTTGCCAAGCAGAGGAATGATGTCGTCGAGCTTCATACTGATAGTGTCCCAACGTAGTCCAAGACAGTAACAGAGCTGTTGCCTTTCAAGAATTGATCGGTTTCCAATCTAGCACTAGTTGTGCGCAGCACCACATCACCCAGTTTGACAGTCGAGTTGCCACTGAACTCACCCGACTTACACGTCAACGAAGTTCCTGCTTTGCCATAAACTTTCATCCAGAATAAACAATACCAGGCGTCTTCCTTCCTGCCTAACGCCTGTGATGCTGGTCCACCGGGTAAGCAGACCGCATGGCATGCAAGGTCGCACAATTTTTTTTTCTCACCGCTGTCGGTGATTGATACCCACTGATCTCTACTAAACTGAGATCAGTGTTGATACCACGGGAAAAGCACGGGGGTAAGGGAAAACAATCACCTACAGCCTTTGACCTCCACCACCAATTAACATCAAGCCTTCTGGAAGTAGGCCAGGAAATCTCGTACGTGTCATATCACGCGTGTGGCTTTTCCTGGTAAATCGAGCAGTGTTTTGCCAACTGCACAACGTTCGTTTGATTGATGTAGGGATTAAAAGAACCGTTGGCCGAGTCCGGCGTTCTTTCTTCATGCCGCCTGTTGAACGTGCTCGAGGCCGACTGTTGTTTGGGTAGTCAACATTCACGGTTTGAACTTTGCAGAACATGAGCGATGCAAAGACAAGTACATGTACATGTACATAAAGCTTTTGTGTGATATCCCGCAGGGTGCACCACTACAAATAAATTCCCATAGACTGCAATGACAAATCCCCACACTTTGCAATAATTCGAAAAATACTCACAACTCTCACAGGTGTCCAGGCTGCACAGAAATACGCTGATCGACATGTCCCCTTTCATTTTCCTTTCAATTTTCGGGGGGTTGACAAATGAATTTTTGAGAAATTTTCTCCAGAAGCAGACCACCCCTAATATGAAGACAATGTCCCTGCCCAGAAAAGTAGCCGTTTTGAAAAACCATCCTTCTGCAAAACGGCCAAATAGTGCCATTTTCGGACCCAACTGCATCCAAATTACTCAGAATTTGAAGCCCAGAGTCCGGGCCAGGGGCTCAGTGCCATATTTCTCCAATTCCTCAATTTCATGGCTCTCAGGACTCTCTAATATAGAAGATTTTGAGTGTATAACTTTTATTAATGAGCTCGGCGGACATCATGACTATTTAGGGCCTTTTTGCGAGGGTGCACCCCGCATAGTCAAAGGAAACCATTGCGATTTTTGCCTCGAACAGCGAAGTTGCCGGGGTTGGAGTCGGAATAGGAACATGTTTTCAAATGCAAAAGCTAGGTCAGGGAAGACAATGATTAAAAAGCGAGTATATCACAGGGGAAATGATAAAAGAATGGAAGAAATTTCATATTAATTTTAGAAGGTGCCTCTAAGTGAGGATATATATCTGTATAAAATAATGGGCTGCTTTCAATTTTATCTCAGGGACATCGCGTAAACTTTCATAATAAGTACGCGTGTCTCAGGTTGTGTAAACTTAATAAACAATGACAAAAACTGAAACCTGGAATACAGTTGACGTTATTGTTTTACTAGAAATATATTAAATCTTTATTCTACAATGCCCGATGTACATACCGTGCTTTCACTATATCAGCTTGCCAAACTTAACATTTTGAACTCGGCGTGGCTGTAGTATGGCTTTTAGAACCCGGGTTCGAGACCCGGCTTCTGTCTTCCGACAGCTCCACTTACGAAGAGGTGGTCCGTGGCGCTTTTGCTGTCCCATTCCAGACTTTCGCTTAATTGGGGCACTGACCTTAATACACACCATTTTTAATTCACTTACATGTATACGAAAATGGCTCACAACACAGGTAATGTTACTTTCTTAACCTTCAGAAAGCATATTTCAAGCAGTTACACCGTTTAAAATCCAGCGCTACTGTGCCATTTAAATGACATTTCTAGAGTTTCTAGTTCTGTTATTAATACCACACCTAAACAAAAGCGCCAAATGATAATTTTTACTTCCTTTGTCGAGGTACATGTACGTGTATAACAGTGAAATAAAAGTGAAAATGTGTTCAGTGTTTATAAAACATTTAAGCGAAGGCATTGCTATAAATGTTGGTTGGGAACGTCAAAGACTCGAGGGTCTTACTCCATAATGACTCACTCGACCGTGCCAGCATCAAACTGGATCAGTGTTCATTGTTCAATTTCGTTCGCATTCAGAATTTGAGCCCTTCTGGTAAAGGAGCCAAAGATTCCTTAAAGCGCTTTATGATAGGCACTACAATGAGTGTACATGAAGTTCGTGAGCCTGAAGAAACCTCAATGTAAAGAAGGACAAGAAGAAGGCAGTTACAATTTTACAGATGGGAATAAAACCCCTGGAGAATCACGGAATCCGGGGACAAGAGTATAGCTCGCCACCAGATTGGATCTGGGTCCGGAGCTGAAATCTGGGAAGGAAAACACCCCAATTTGTGTACCCGACTCTTCAGTTCAAGTTTGTGTTGGACTTTTGGATCGGTTTAAAATGAACCAATATAACACCCATTCCTGTACATACATATAAATGCCTAAGTCGGCTGTCATCATCCTGTCTTTCTGTTTACTGAAACCTATAAACGGGACAGGACGGTCTCCAACAGGCAAGCAGAAAACCATGGAGATGTGATCCAATGGGGATATGTGGGGCCCAGGGGGCTCTAGGGGCAGATTCAGCCACCGTCAGCCCGGACGTCTGCTTCGCGTTATCTCTGGGACAAACCTGCTGAATCGATGCGAACTCAAGTTGGACCAGCTATCACATCGACACACATTTCCATTTTCATGTTGCGTGAAGCCACTGTGGGTACTATGATCAAGGCTAAATCTACGTGGGTGTGTAATACGTGGAAGTATTCTGCTTTTGACACTTTCGAGTCGGCTCCGCAGGAGACCATTCCCAATTGACCTTATGTACCTCTGCAGTTTTCCTCCTGGCATATCTGTGCATTCATCTGTTACGATGGACAACAACTGAGAAGGCAAGGTTTCCGTTAAAAAGTCCGAGTACCGAGTACTTTAGATTTCGTAAATAAGACGAGATTCACGACAACACCGGTCTCTGTTACCAGAACGATACAATAATCGCACGGGTTTACTTTTTTTCCATTCCCGGCTATACAGTCAGCAGCATTGCCCATGAGACTTAAGGGCGCCGTCTTTTTCACCCACTGGAGTAAAGAAAGGAGTCGTCGACTTGAATTTGGCGAACCCAAGCAAACCTACAGTCATTGATGGTGATCCCGGCGCACAGTAATTATATGCAGGTATTACAGAAATAAAAACACAGCAAAATAACATCAACTCGAACACGGTGTCTGCTCAGTATACATAAATATTGAATAAATTACGCTTAAAAAGTTCTCTCCTTCTTGAGTTAACTCGTACGTACTTCAGAACCACGTTCTCGTATTCAGATACATGTATAGCTAACTGTTCATAATGTGAGATTATTAACCTAACACGCCTGTGCTTTGCGTTTGGTTCGACGGATACGCTACGCTAGCGCTTGGCGCAAGTGTCGACGTACGTATGGAAAGGCGCCTTTAGCTGAAAAGGGAGACAATTTTCACCATGTCCCTAATACGGCTTCGTAGGTTCTAATGTGAGCAGGACAGTGTATACGCCAAGGACACCCAAACCGCAAGGGTCACTGGAGGTAGCTTTAATTATTACATTCCATTCTAACCACAATTTGATAAAAATCTTTTTCTCTGTTATGACAGCGTCCAAATCAGACGGTCCATTTTCTTTCCAGCAATAAACTACACCGATTATGATCACAATGTTTGAGCGTCTCCTACAGGGAGGATAACAGTTCTGAACAATTTCAAGATCTACTTTGCGCCAGTATTTATTTTCCTTATCAATATTTTTTGTAAGCTTCGTCCGGGAACATGGCAAGGCTGAATTGCAACAGACGGTAAATCTGCCACAAATATAATTTGTATGCCTAGTGACAGAAAACAAAGTTCAATGCCACGAGAGGTTTTTTAATCGAGATAAAATCAACTGTGACTTCTTGATGGTTCAGGCACATTCACTGCCCACTGCTTAAAACCTTACTCCATACATATAAATACTCTCACAGCACTACTGTTTTTTTTGGAATCAGTTCATAATTTATCCTTATCCATCATAGATACAAGGCTATAACCTGAGGCTACATAGTCATAAGATTGATAAATAGAATTATAATGTTAAAAAAAACCACCCTGTTATTTCATTGCTTCCCTTTCATCAACTAATCAGTATATTAATTATGGCTATTCATGACCCTAATGGGCTTGCTCTCTGTGGAAGGCACTCCGAGTTATTTATTTGCGTCATGTCTGAATACTTTTAATGGCCGTCGCAAGTTGCTGGTACTCTGCTAGCTCATTGTATATGTGAGTAGAGATACGGACGTACAGTTTACCATCTACCGCTTTAATTGGTACCTGCGTGAAAAATGGCGGAAAAACCTTGCACTGTTAATGTGGCATAAAAGTTACAATTCAGGAGCAAGTAATGTATCTCAAGAGTAGCCGGAGAATGCACAATCCAAAAATAGACTTTAAGATATAAAAAAATTCATGAAATGCACTGGTTGCGAAAATTCCCTTCTTCTTCGAAAGAGAAATAAGTATGATCACGACTTTTTTCAAATTACCTCGATGTTAAACTCATGGTACAGCTTGTTTTGAATCAGTTCAGCTGCATTGTAATTCTTAGTCTTGCTTTCAGCGATGTGAGGTGGGAGCTGCACGAGAGCCATGGACCCTGATGAGGAAAGAGATAAATCAAACGGCTTGTAAAGAGGCTAACCGGCCAATGCTGTTAATATACAGACAGAACTGTAGTTTCTCTTACACTTGAAGCCATTTAGCTGAATTATACTCACCACACATTTCCAACGGTGCCAATAGTCCTGTATTCCACTCTTCCATCAACAACTGGGCTGAAAAAGAAATGGCTCGGCGTAAACTTAATTTGACTGATGACATGGAAAACATAGGCCAACGAAAATGAATTAAAGATATTTCTTTAAAAAATTCCACGAAAATGACTCTGTACAATTCAACTTTCACTCAGGTAAAATCATATACAAATTATTACAAAAAAGTCTAGGAGTACAAGAACACAGTTTTTTTCTAAGGAAAGAATTGCAAGTTATCACTTTAAGGGCATGAAGTTTTAGGCAACAGGCAAGCCGGAAAAAATCGTTCAAAGCATGTCATTAATCTTCCTACACCCTTGAACAACAGCCCTCCCTAACACGATCTATGAGACAAGGGTTACTGACCTGCACTGCAAAGTAACTGATGATTGTACTGACGGATTTTATCCACACCGACGGCTTCCCAGAAATCGAGGACGGTGTGCAGAGCCAGGAAGGGGCTGTAATCGCGAAGGCCTGGGAGAGAACTTAGATTATGATTTGGGTTGAATAAAAATCGCAAAAATCATTGCGAAAGAACTGCATTAAGCATTGCTTCTTACCTGCATAAGTTCATTTCCGCACAGAGGAGCAAAGGTTGGGACTGTTTTGAAAAAAAAAATGTACACTGGCAACATGACGAAGGTATACAAGCCAACGACGTCCTGTTGGTGAGCGACCAGCCTTGCCCACTTTTTGCAGGTGTGTTTCCAGGTATTAAGAGAGAGTGACATGTGGTCAAGTGGTTAATGCGTCAATGCATGGATGTTGATTGCTACGGGTTAACCACATTGAGAGTGGTTAATACAGGTGTCACAAGTTTTTTTTCATTGAAAAAAGTTGTTCTCAACCAAGACATCTGGGATAGGCTCTGACAGAACTCATGAGGGACATTTTTCAGTAAGATGCAAACAGGAGAGTTTATTGAATTCATCAATGTCATCCTCTCTGGAAAAAAAAAATCTCTTTCTGATCAACTGTGTGTACACCGTGCCCCACCCACTCAGGAGGTAACCACTGCACAAACCAGCCATTTCATGATTTCTATAAAATAACAAAATCCGTGCACATAAATACCGCCCTCAAGGGTGAATGCACGGGTCAGATACAGGTATTCAATGTTTCATTTAAGAGGTCCCCCTCACCTGACCACATGAACTCAGAGCTGAACCCGCTTCCCCACCCGTGGGACACCACGAGGGGCCTGACAGCATCCCTCCACTCCCTCCCGACGTGCAGGAAGCCACACCCCTTGGGGTTGCAGAACCACTTGTGGGCATTGGAGGTGTAGAAGTCGGCCCCCAGGGCGTCCAGTGCCAGGGGTAGAGCACCCAGGGTGTGCGCTCCGTCGATCAACACTGGCACTCCCCTAGCAAAAGAATCAATGTAGGCACGACCTGAGCCAAGAGTCTTAATTCCTGGTAAAAAGCTGGCACTGAATCCACTCTGAGATTTTCAATACAGGAGTCACTCTTTGGGTCGGTTGGTAACCAGCACAAGGATACACAGCAGTGTCATGTTGTGCATAGCGATAAACAGCCCTCCAGAGGGCTCTCAGGTCAGAGTTTGACCTGTCCAAGGGGTTGAACAACTGTGCGTCACTGCTCCTTGGGAATAAGTGTGCAGTAAACCAGCTGGAGGGGGTGAGGACCAAGACAAAAGAGCACAAGTCATTTTGTCCTAGCCAACAACTGTACACATGCACGTACATGTACACTCAGAAGCTGTGCAGAACTGTGTTCCACTTGGAAAAAACACATTCAAAAGACTGAATTGATGATGTTTGCGCACATCTGCGGCGTCAAACCCGAGGAGGGTTACTGTAATAGCTAGCAGAGATGTGTGGAGCAATAGCATTTGCATTTTGCCTTCTACTCTACCTTCCATGGCAGATGTCGATGAGCTCTTTGATTGGTTGAATGTAAGCCGTGTTGCTGGGCACGTGATCAAACACAGCCAGTCGTGTGCCAGCTCTGTCGGGAGGAACGCAGCTATTGGTTATTCAAATCATGATGTAACAATACACGATGGGAAAAAAAAAACGAAGAACTGCGTCAGGTTTTCTGTGGTTGGTCGAACTGTGATCTTGGAAAAGTTTGTTGCGGCTGGTGTCGTAAATGCATTTAATTGATTGAAACTACACCTTAAAAATTGAAACTTCCTGAAAATTCAACTTACTTAAGACTCTTCTTAACTGTTTCCACTATCTGAAACAAAAACGTACAGAAACCTTCAAAGTTTTTCACGAGGTACCATATTTCCAGATATAAGAGGTAAAGTGACGTCTGTCAAAAGCCAATGTGACCCATCAGGTCGACATTCCCTTCTAGATTCAGTAAAATAAAACGAATGAGCATGTTTCTCTTCCAACAGAACAGGACACTAGTTCATCTCAGCTTTCTCCCCAGCTAATGCCGGATTGCAAGTACCCATTACAGACATGCAACTTGGACTTTGACCAGAAAAAAGAGGAAACGCCACCCGGCCATGCCTCCTTTCAATGGCCGCCAAGGAGACGACTGTAAGACTATTCCATTTCAGCCGAGGTACCTGTTCTTTAGAAACCAGTGGGAATGTTATCCTCTCCGTCTGTATAACTGCACCTGTTGTCTCGGCAACGTGACTCAAAAGCTTTTTCACAGCACCTGTTTTCCAGACAAAAAACCAACAAAAACTGTGTCATTCCATCAAACAAGGCCAAATCTAGATGTGCATTTTTCTACCTGTGTATTTACTGGTAACAAACTTCTGACTTGAATGTTCTAATTCTGAGTTTGTACTTTTTCTGCTAACTTTTCGGTAAAAATTGTAAAGGTCTGGGTTCGATTTGCTGCACCAAAAAAAAACAAGAAGAGTGTGACACTCAGCTTTTTTCATTTTTCGAACATTTTTTTCCTAACCATATTTAAGAATACTTTACATCACTCTTCCCTCTGTAGATGACATACCATAAGTGACATTCAGACAATATATGACATCTCCTTGTTTGAAGTTCAAACTCTTCACAACACAGTTGATGGCCGTTGTGACATTGGGCACCAAAACAAGCTTAGTGGGATTACAACCTACACAAATGAAAACCAAAATACTTCACAGCAAATATCTGACTTTTATGAGACTTTTAAAATTAAGGACTAGAACTGTTTGGGCCAAGGGCGGGGCGACTTGTTACCACAGGGACGTTTGGTTTTGACTTCAGTGACCTAAATCAGAATTTTTCCCTCCCCCCTTCAAAAACCTCCCTTATCTTTCGTTCCAAAATTTGGAGTGACGGATTTCACTCACCGACAAATTTGGCCAGTCTGCGGACAACATGCACCAGCTGCGGCAGTGATTCTCGGTCAAAGAACCTCAGGGGCTGTCTCTCGATGTGGATCTGCCACTTCTGGGAAGCCGTCAACGCCTCCTTGAGGACGGCGCCGAAGGCACCGTGGTTGAGGAAAGTACACTCTTCCTGGAATCCAAGATATGTCAAGCTTAAAAAGTTCAATTGCTAAAAGGTTTCACAGAGAGAGTGGTACAAAGGGTGTGAAAAAGACTCTTGTCGCTCAATTTCATGACAATGCAAATGAATGTCATCATGAAGACTCTTCACAGAGCTTCCGAGTCTAGTCAATCCTTACCGGGATCGATAAGATACCACATGTAGAGCTGGGGCAATTTCATTCAGGGACAACAATCTTTGATGAATGGACTTTTCAGATACTTTTGCTACTTTTGAAACGTTTATGAAATTCACACGATTTTTTTTCTTGAAAAAATCCTACCTCCAGGAGGAAATGCCTCTTCTTCATTTCTAGACCGAATGATGGAAGACTAGTTGGGTCAGCTCGGTAGTTGGTGAAATTTGGCAGATCAGCTGGCAGCTCTGGAGGAACATAATCAACCTTCAAGGAAGAATCCAAGAGGACAAAAGCAATTCCAGGTGTAGGTTTTAAAGACATGTGGCTTCAATGAACAAAATAACAAAATCTTAGATTTAACTCTAAACTTTTTCAATTGAGTCTAAACAAGTTCAAATTTGCCCAGGCTATTCCTCAGCATCTGAAAATAATGTGGCATAAAATATCAAAATTTAATAATTTCTTCTTTAGATTTAAAAACAAATTCTAAAATGATAACAATTTCTACCTAATTTCAGTATCAGTGACGGACATGAGCACAGGAAATCAAACAAAGTGTAACCTTAAAAAAGGAATTAGGCCTAGGCCTAAGAGCGAAATTATTGTACTTAAATTTAGTTACCTCAGAAACTGATATGAGCTCTTCAACATTTGATGAATGAAATGATCCAAAGTCTCGTTTCGCTGCTGGAGGGGTATGAAGAGGAAAAATCATATTTTCAAATAATAAAGGGAAATAATTGTGTCTGTCATGTCTGTGAAAACATACATGTACATGTCTAGCCTACAGTGTAAAAAGCCATGGACGAGGCAACTTCCATTTACAACCATGACTATTTAAAGTGCTACCAGCACTATGTACATATGTACTGTACCGGTACGTTAGGCATTTAAACATTCCACACAACCCGCTGCTATGCTTATAATTAAATTTATAACACAAAAAAGGGCCGGCCCAGTGGTACTCATACTCAGATGCAGTATCTGCATGGTCATCGATCGTGAAGGCCACTTTACTCTGGGCTTTTTTAATCTTAGCAGTCATTGCTTGTAATCACACCTGACATCGTTAAACCGTTTCTCTAGGCTTAACTTCAAAGCAAGCTGAAGCTTCACCAGATGAGTCAAAATCTTCCGTAAAGAGGAAAAACTTGAGCTCAGTTTTCACGCGTCTACGTACACAAATCATCACAGTGGTCTTTATGATTCAGATCCAGTACTTGAGGCTTAGCGCTTGTGTGAGGATAGCGCCCTCAAGTGACAATGTTTTTAAAATTTACACCGAACGAGAGATTAACAATCACCAAATAGCCCAGTCAGGGGATATAGGGCATGATGGGAAGGGTTAGATGACGAGAGCGGCCATTTTCAAAATTTTAGTTGAATGAAAGGGAAGAAGTTAAGTATTTCGTAAGCAGTAAGTAAATTACTTGAATCTTACCTATTAACTTTTATATTTATGCTACATTCGCTTCAGCTTGAATAATACCAGCTCTGAAATCCGTTGAATTTGTGATTCTTTTCTCAAAAATGTCAAATCATGTATATCGCAACGCCGGTTTCGCTGTCGATGTGTTTACGCAGCGGCCATTGCGGCATTCGCCATACATGTACTCGCCGGCCGTGCACCGTGTCGCCAGATAGGCGCGTCGCCTTGGCACTGTTCATCATGTTATAGAATATTGAATGTCAAGATGAATCTTGTCGGCTTGTGTGTTTTCAAAGTAAATTTAAGTGTAGGCCTTGGGCCTAAACCTTCGACGTTTGCAATCATTCAATTCATGGACAGGACAGGCATGCCATTCATCGAACATTGCCAGGGTTGGTTGGTGAATTTTTTATCTAAATAAAAAATCCAATTTTTTTTATTTGAATCAGTTTTTTTATTTGAATGAGATATGTAAAATTTATATCAGAATAAAAAACTTTTTTAGTAAACTTTGACACACAAATTAGCTGCGTACTGTACATGTGCATTAGGCCTGGGCCTAATGTTCTTTTATTTATGTCTTTTGCTACAGAGTTAAACAACTTTGGATTTGAATTAAGAAATTTAAATCAAGTAACTTGATTAAATTCACAAACACCTTGAATATTGTCTAAGCCCAGGTGAAATGTATGCAGTATAACTATAAGCCTTAAGGAAAAACGGGCATTTGCCCCTTTCATGCCTTATTTCCTTCCCACAATGCCGTTCTACCATTGTGCAAAATCACCCATGCATTATTTGCGATAAGGCTTATCAAGTTAAAGCCCCTGTAGACCGTTACATATCCCTGCAGAGAAGACACTTCCTTCAGTGACAGGTACAGTCAAATCTCGTCAATAAGAGGTCCTTTGGACTTGGGAAATTACCTTGTTATAACAGGGACCTTGTATTATCAGCAATCAAAACAATGAAAAACAAATGATTGTGACCTTAACAATCCTTTGTGATCAATAGATAAATGACTTAGGCTTGATTAAAACTCACTTCATGAAGCACATTGTGTCTTTGGTTTTAGTTTCACTGCATGATGACCAACATTTCTAATCTCAATAAAATACATGTGTACTTGTAAATACAAAAGGTCGACGAACCCTGATATTTTACCAGAAGTGGGCAATGGATTATAAATCCTTCACATCAAATTCATTCACTGAAGCCAAAAAGATGATCAAATCGAAACTAGTGTATTGAATTGAAGAAAAAAATTCTGCCAACCAGACTGTGTGTAACACATGTGCATTCATACTTCTTATCAACACTGGGAACTGAGGGGCTCACAGAGGGGGATTTGCTGTTGAGAATGTAGAAAACTTGCAGAAATTACCAATCAGTTGAAAAGAATTTAAAAATTAAAACATTTTTGCCCTTTTCCCCCAAAGGTAAATATGTTGCTTAAAATTATACTTCAGTACTCCCATTCAAGCCACCCTAGTCAGCTAGTCTATTCACCACGTTCACACAAAGTTGCATTGTAGATTTGGATACAGATATTCAAAACATTTTAAAACTTACCAAAAAAGAAACTCTGGGAATCCCTTCCAAAATTCCAAGAACACCAGTTTTTGTCATGGAGTTAGACTGAGATTGATTTGTGACTGATTCACTTTTCCCACAGGTTTAATGCATGAAATGTATTACTTGTTTTTTACCGAAACCCATAATGCATAGCGAGAAGGTTAATTAATTTGGAAGTTTAGGCCAAACATCAGGCCCAACTTCCTAAATCAGTTAATAATACTCCCTAGGGAGTGTGTAAAATCATGTTGAAAGCGGAGCATTGAGGACTGTTAGGGTTAACGTGTTTGAAACTGAACATGGTGAAGTGACTCAAAAATGCAGCCTAATCTTGTTCATGGTGGGGCATTCAGTTAACAATATCCATTTGACGGCATCCCTCCTTTAATTTATTCAAATGAAAGCTATCAGGGAAACAACAATGTATCGGCCATCTCAAATTGGCAGCAGTAGCTCCAGACGTTCCTCGGCCAGCAGTGGGCGGGCCTCAATAGCTCCACTCAGGGTCAAGCCAGACAACAGTAAGTCGGAAAAGTTATGGACATTTCTGGGGAAAAAATTGGCCAAAGCTATGGCATTTTGTGTGGTCCAGTTAATTTCAAATTTAAAAAACATTGTTCATCTTGACATGTTTAGGCGTATTCGGAAACTAGCACTAGAAAAATTCTTCAGAACTTGTAAAGTGCAGTGTGTTGCTGTGACGCGGGAATTTTGCTTTGTTTTGCTATTTTTCCTAGTCTTTCCAGCACTTCCAAAGTTTTACAGTCTTATGACAGTTTTAACCGTCGTTTGATAAACCAGGTCATAGATTTTCATATTTTGATCAAGAAAAGTTGTGGAATTTCTTCCGTCTTAGAGGGTGCAGAAACCCTGTGCGCAGTGACAGCAAAGTGGAGTATCTGAGTACTTGAACAACATTATAACAATTCTAATCGGAAGGTTTAACCCTAACCCCCCAAGGGTTGCTGGCCCTAACCTTCCCCATTCACACAAAGTTAAACACCAATATGGGACTTTGTGGACAGAGGCTGTTGGACTTTGTTTTTCTGAGGTATGCCAAACCCAATGCAAAAGCCAGCTGTTATGGGCCTACCAGACCTATCCCCACAGAATTAAACACTTTACTACTGTTTAATTCAGTGGTTGGGGATGCATAGGGTTAAATGGCCTTAACAATAACCCAGACAAGTAGACCTGCATCCCAGACACAGGTTATACAAACACATGGCATTTATAGCACCCCGTTTGTTACTGAAATGTCTGTACATTTTCCTTCTTTGCCCCCACCTCTCTGGATAGTCGGACGATCCAACAATGCGGGCGCGTCCAAACGTCACAGCACCGACAGTGGAGCAGGCAGCAGCAGGCTGTCCACCGGCAACAGGAAATCAGTCTCCCAGAAACATGGCTTCATCAACACCAAACGGTAAACCCCAGTCACCGATGTGGTTACCAAACATGCAGTTTCATAAATAGCAAAATTATTGACAATCACAGTGTCCTTTGTACTCTGGAAAACAGCATTTCCGACAGAACTTTGTTACAGTTACTGTTGAAGTTTTGGACCATCAGTGTCATTCATGCTACATGTACATGTACATCTGAGACAAAATAAAACAGACGGATGACTTGGCAAAGACATGTGGAATAGGCCTGACGTCATACTTTTAACTTTGGTGTACTTTCCTATGGAACTACGGTCCACTGAGCACCATAGGGAAATCACACATATACACAAAGTGTGACCTCATCAGTGGTCTATTATTAGCATAATATCCAATTTGACAAAGTACTGAAATCATTGGCCTTTATTTTCCATTCCTTTCATCAATCAAATCATGGCAATTGTTTCACTTTCACGGATGTATTACTGCTTGCTGATTTGTCTTTTGCTCGATCTTACCAATCACGCAGGCAGTCCAGCGGGTACGGAGGCAGGAATTTTGGCCACGACATCATGAAGGACACGCGGCCCCTCAGCGACAAGTCCTACATGCAGCAAGAGATCCGCGACATCATCGAGGTACAGCCTGGCATCCTCACCTGCATTTATCCTCGATTGAATTTGTGCCGGCGAGTCATAGATTTCAAACTCGGGTATCAAACTTGGCTTCAAACCTGACATTGTGTGCAGTCAAAGTTTGACTTTTTCCCCCACACAAATGTCATTTGCTCTTCAGTGGCATAAATAAACAAATCATTGTCTGAACCGCAAAGTGGCACATTTTACACGCAAACAGATCTGTGGATATAATGTGACTCTGGTTATGCGGCCAATGAAGTTACGTAATAAAACCCAAACTTTCATTTTTCTAATGCTGTGATTGCATTAGTTTGCATCTGCATTTTTAAATTATGTTTAAACCTTATTCCTAAATTTTTCAACGGTTTTATCATTTTTATATGTATTGTTGCCACAAGAGAAGATTTCAGCAATCGAGCATTATAATAATTAGTATACAAAGGCCAATTGGGTAAAAAGTACCCACAAGGGCTTAGGCAATGCAGTACACTCGAGAGAGCGTGCACAGGGCGGATTGTAACTTCAAGAGCTCAAAATTGCCAGCAGTTTGAAATCTCGTGCAACAACGATATTCTTGAATGCACTGTACCAATATCCTCTGTCGCATGATTTTTTTCATTTCAGTTCCTGACACAGCACGGCTACCCGCATCCCCTGAACGCCAAGATGCTGATGACGCCAACGACCAAAGACTTCCTGAAGATCTTCCAGTTCCTCTACAACTTCCTGGAGGTGAAATACGCCCCGGCGCAGAAGTTTGAAGAGGAGATTCCACAGATCTTCAAGACACTCAAGTAAGACACCTTGATCTCCTCTTCAACCCCCCAAAAGTTACTTCCTCCTGAAGGTCTATTCTCCTTGTTCAAAGAACTGAGAGTTGCTACGCTGTGATCGCATAATTTATGATTGTTAATGTGTCGATAATGTTTAGTAGAACTGAGATATCTGTGAATTAGGGCGTAAGAGTGGCACACATTCAGCGGATCTTTTCAGAGCAGCAGGTTGCTGGTGTAAAATTTGCCCTGAAACGTGACGAAGCAACGGTGCACTCATCTGAAGATTTCTAACATATTATGTCAGTGGAGCTGGAAAACCAAGTCCTAGACTCCGCTCAAGGTGGTGAAATTGAAACTCCCAAATGGCTCATTTTTTTCATATCCTCTTTTCCCCCAAAATGTCCCACTTCCAACTGCTGCAACAGATTTTGCAAAAGTATCTGCACTTTGCCCTTTTTCTTGTAGGTATCCGTTCAACATCTCCAAGAGTTCCATGTTCACCGTTGGCAGCCCTCACACCTGGCCCAACATCCTGGGTGCACTGCACTGGCTCCTCAACTCGGTCAAGGTCAGACTTCTCCCCTCCCGCCCTCCAAGAAAAGAAATTGCCAAAAATTTGAACTTATGCTTTCTCACTCGTCAGTCACAGCCAAGTGGAATGGGCTTCACCCTGACCCTGATTTCAGATTCTTTCCACCATGAGAAAAAAAGGAGCCCAGTCACTCTTACTTTTAGTGGGTATTCGGTAGACTAGAAAGTTAAAATGAGAGAATGCCTCATCAGTTTTGCTCTGAGGGAGATTCACGCTGATTCCTGACGAGAAGGCCAAAGGAGTTAGGATGTGGGAACTGTATTTTGTTCCTGACATCAGTGCTGGTATTTATCTTGATGTTTATGGTATTTGCATTAAACTTGGCAGGTAGTTTTGGCTCGTTGATCAACAGGTGTCCCTGTCGGTGTACACGTACTGTACACGGTCTCCCTTTGAATGGCAAAACGAGATATACTCCTGCACTTTTGTCAAATCGTCTATTATGTACCCATCTCCTGGTGGACCTTTATCCTTGTCAGTGGTTGACTTTGGTTATCGTCTCGTTTTTTATTTTCCCCCCAGTATGCCTTGGGTGTGGACGAGCAGTCGATGCTCTTCTCGGCTCAGCTCGCAGACGATCAGGGAGACGAGTTTGATTCAGTCACCGATTCAGAGGTGAGATGACGAATTCCAGGTCTTGCAATGACTGTCATAATGTAAAAATCAACAAATACTCATCCCCGGCAAACTATGGTCTTCTGAAAATGATCAGCTTCAACTGATTGAAGCATCGTACATTTCTCCCACCCATCGCTTCCATCATCACCTTCTTACAAAGAGCTATCATCCCCTGTGCCATCTTGAAACTTTCACATATTTTACAGCTCTCGGTGAGGCATCAACTTTGCCGCTATTTTAATTAGAGCGTCCGAGCAATATTTAAGATAATTTTGGAGATGAAACAGGCATTCCCAAGTACGTGTTGCGAATTCTGTTTCTCTTCTGCAGGTTTTGTTCAACTATGTTGAGGGAGCTTACAAGGAGTTCTTGGATGGGGCAGACACGTTTGAAGAAAGAGAGAGAGCCCTGGAACAGAGCATCAGTAAATTTCTTTTGTTTAGTCTTAATTATTATTTATTCTAATAAACTTTTTGCATTCAATAAAAATGTTGAAAGTTGCCAATTTATGAGTAAATTCATATAGAATGCTTTTGCATAAATTTTGAAATAATACAGTTTTGGTTTTTTTTAAAGACTTACATTAGGTAATCTTTTGTTGATGAAACTTTGACCTAATTTCAGGGATGAGATTTTGTTGGGATTTTCCCTGATTTCAGGATTTTTTTCAACAGGATTTTCCCGCTCTCAGGATTTTGCAAACAATCCGGTTTTAAAATTTGGACTGTCTGAAGCTTACCACTGTGGTCTCTCCACAAATGAAAGTTGATTTAGAGCACAAGCATTGGGTATGTTTTTAGGGGTGCCTTGAGGCGAACACAAATTTATACCATAGACCCCATGTCGCTGTGGGGACCACGAAACTTCAGATGATCATGTCATGGATCTTTCTCAAATTTTTCTCCTATCTTACCCTTTTAATATGTGAATGTGAATGTGTGCTTTTCCATTCGTCCACCTCTTTGCCGGGCAAACAGAGCAGCGTAGCCTGGGGCAGACGGGCAACTTGGAGCAGTTAGCAGGGGAGGAGCAGCGCTTGTCTGCCGAGCTTCAGCTGCTGCAGCAGGAACCGGTAAGATGACTCAGGAGATGCAGCCTAACCGTGTCTCTTCCCAGATCCTTCAAAATCCATCAGGAGGTTTTTGTAGGAATTTGCGGGATCAAAGAATGTGGAGTCCAGCCTGTAGGCCCTTTACTACTTCATATTGGACAAGGGTTTTTATCTCGGATGCTGGTAAGCCTGTGACCAAAATAATGTATTTTGCACGTACATGGTAGC